TTCACCTATGTATATTCCCAGGATATTCCCGCAATGTTCTGTATATTTTTTGAACATTCTGGGATATTCATAGAACATCAAATGCTATCTGGGTAGTTTCATTTGTGCAGTTTTGGCTTACCTTCAAAAGCAAACAATTTAAAAATTCCCCATCTTATTTTGCTGAAAAAGGGGAGATTTTTATCGCACTTAACCGACCTCTTCCTTCCAGTTTTTTAGATTTCTATCTAAAGCCGTCCACAGATAGAACCAAATGAATTATTCTCCCGATATAAAATCGGGAGTAAAAGCGAACACTCTGTATGTGTGGGTAGTGGCGAAATAAAAAGTCCACAGAGAACGTAAATGCCAAATACAAAAGCTTGTGACCCATTAGGTGGATATTTTGCCATTCACCCTCATGTACCTAATTTGTCTGAAGAAGTAAAATTTTCAGGAAAATTTTCCCTGCTTACTCTAGAAAAAATTTAATAAATTAGATATGATCAAACAGATAAAATTCCCCGTTTCCATAATTATGTGCCGATCGGCCTCACAACTGGGTTGGATGGATAAGTTCTTGGAGGCAAAGAGCGCCTTTTCCTGCCACCAAACGAACCCAATGGAAGCAGAACGGAATTTTGGGAGGCCGCAGCCGCCACTCCTAGAATGGCCAGTCCTGCTAATGGCAGAAGGAGCTTCTTGAGTGTTTGCATCTGAAATGGACAAATTTTACTCAAGGAAATTGAACATTTGCAATGGATCGGCTTCTATACCTTATAACCCCCCATCCCCTGCTCATTTCCGCCCCCATTACCACTATGGCCTGAGTAATAATTATCGTCATAATCCCCTGGATAGCCGGGTCGTTGATAAGGACGGGGAGGGCCATAATTTGCTCCGTACCCAGATGGGCGCCCGCTTGAATATCCTCCGCCGCTGTGATGGTAACTTCCTCCTCCCGACTCATAAATGGGCGGCAGGCGGTCTGCAAAGCCCCAAGTTCCTAAATTTACCACACAGTTGTGCCAGATACTTTACCATCCTCCACATATCCCCCGGAAGCTGTTTGGGAGAACCCACTGCCAGAGCCTCCATATCTGCCCGAGTCATAATCTGCAAGTTTGTGGCGTGAGCAATGATAACAACATGCAGGGAAATGAGGATGAGGAATTTACCTCCATGTCCAGATGGACTGAGGGCGCCTAAACCAAAGCTGCGCTTGTGGTCTCTAGTGGAAGTTATTCCCCTTTTGGAGGTCTTGGACTTGCCTCCAAAGTCTTTAAACGAAACGTCAGTCGCTCCTCGTTTTTCCTCATCGGTCAGCAGCTGGGCGAGAATTAAGCGAAAATTAGAGGTGTGGAAGTGGTTGAGGGTGGACTTAGGATATTACTACAGTTTTTCAACAATTTTGTTATTGTCTGTATCGTTCCTTAGCGCTGGAGTATTGAGAATGTTTATGTTGTTAATGTTATCATTTGATTTTGATTTGCTTACATATTTATGTAATAAGTAAATATAATTTGATGCAAATTTTGGAGAATTGGGGAACACTGAGGTCAAATCCCGGCAGTTATTTTGTTGTTTAAGCGTTTAAAGAAGCAAATCCTTTCAAGCTGTGGATGAAATGCGACAATTGCTTGATTTCAAAATGTAATTTAGAACATTTTTTTGCATACGGCTTTTAGATACTTACTTTATTGTCTCGGTAAATATCCACATCACTTGAAACTACACAACAAATCACCACCAACACCATCCAAAGCACTGAAGCAACTCGTTCAATTGGAGTCATTTTCTTCGGGGAACGACAGCTTTAGCATTCCTTACCAGAAAATAATAATTTTCAAACGATTTGCTTTTATATATATATGGCCTGGATGTGCAAATATGTTTGATAATATACGGCAAATTTTATTGTTCGCCCAAATTCGACGGTCGTTCTTCATAGGTGACATATTTTCTCTATTATGTTTGTGCATCCAACTGCAATGCCCAAGGTTTCTTCGGGCCGCCGCTTCGCTTCTTTTCTTGCAATTGAAGCTTAATGCGATGGGAAGTGTCGAATTATAAAATTATCGTTTATAATTCAGCTGACATCCGTGATCAATGTTTAGTTGAGATTCGCAGATAAACTCGAGCAATTACGTATTTAATGGGCGGTACTGACCTGAATGTATAATCTCCCATTATAATAAGCACGATTTGCGACAGCTGATTTTTATGAAATCATCATTCTCCAAGTTTCAATTTGGTTTTTAGAGTGTAACAATTTGAGGGAATAATTCTTCAATTAATTGTATTCATTTTTTGGGTAGAACACATCGAACTTTACCTCCTGAATATAATTATAAACTAATTGATAAAAACAGTACGCGAGTTCATGTTGAATCAGCTCGAGTTGGGTCTCACCAATTTAAATAAAGATCATATTCAACAACTGCCATAAAATAAATGCGGCTCCTCAACGGTGACACATAATCCGCAAAACGAAAGACAAAAAACGGGGGAGGCTTAAAAGCTTTGAGTATTTTGATATCGTGAAAAATCCTTGGGGAGGGCGCAAATTACCGCTCGCAAAAGATCGTCATTGCAACATCACATTTCCCACAACTGTTATGCTTTCCACACTGATGGGGTCCAAATTTGATTTCATCCAGATCTTATAGGCTTTGATATGACTGTTGAGGTAAATGCGACGATTCTCCATATCCAGAACATTGCTTTCGGTTGAATGGCGTTTAACGAACAATTGTTGTTTCAGGACAATGGAAAACGCAATCGAGTGCGCTCAACCTCGCAGATTTTCCTCCGGAAGTCTCTATGCCCAGGTGAGTTGCCTCTTCAAGCTTTTCACTCGGGATTTATCAGATGCTTATGCAATTTTAATGGCAATTCCACGTCTTCATTAGTGGATATTTGTGGCGGTTGGACTCAGAAATTGCATATACATTAATGACGATGTACGGCCGCATATCACCCCATTCGGACCGCAGCCCCAGGGCAGATGCGCCCCATCGTAATTACGGGCCGATGGGCGCCACTTGCGGTCCGCATGCATTTAATCTAAATACCGTGCATTTTATGGGGCCATCAAAATGTCCATGCTAAATTCGTTAGTGCGTGAAATATGTATGGGATGCTGATAACTCTCGGATTTACTCCACTAATTTCTATGATGTCAAGGGGTTGGCCGGATTTGAATAAAAAAGCAGCATTTCAACGAAATTTTTGGCCAAAGGGATACTTTTTGTCACCATTTTTTGAAACTGGACAGTTTTTAGGTTGTAGTGAATTAAAAAAAATGTCTGCGCCAAACAAACTACATCGGAAAATGAAACCTTTTTGGCACTCAGAAAGTTCCGTTGTTTAAAGACAAAGCAAAATAGCGCAACTTTTACAACATAAAAAGTAACGTGTGTATCATGCACTCTTAAATTATGCAACTGCAATTAAGTAAATGATTCCGCTCCATCCAGGGTGTAGTTTGTAGACATTTAAACCCGCCCTAACGTTGAATAGAACTGGAATTATTTGTTCAGAAAATTTATTAGATTGGGAAATCCGCCGCCAGAAATTTCCGAAAAACATCCCACATTCCGACCTATTGTGTATTTCAATGCCCACAACAACTTCAAGATGTTACGGATGATTGATGGCGGCAAATAACTCCAGATATATACGAAATCTAAGTTGTAATTTATTAGAGCGGAGTGTAATTTCGAATGTCAGCAACTTGGGGAAATTAATCTACAAACGATTGCCGCAGCTAGTGTATAGTCAAGCCACATATACGAAGCGGAAATTTTGATAGAATTCAGGCCGGAACATTACGCCGGTTCCCTCGGAATGCGTTGCCATTTGAAAGAATGCGACTTTTCATCTAATTTCCCTCGCTTAAAACGTGCTAATCACATCATTTGCCCAGAACGTCGAAATGTGAACGCTAATGGGCGTCCCTCTAATTATAAAAAGCGTCCACGTCCAACCAAATGAGGCAAATTTGTTTGCCGGCCATAACTTGAGGGCGTCATTGGCACAACATGTTGCCCATAAAATTTGCATCACACATCGTAACAATACGGCACGCGGTTTGGCTCTAAACATACAAAGTGCCCGAAATGATACAATGTGCGAGGGAAATTTAACAGCTAATGTGCCTGTGGAGGTGATTCCATCACACTTTTGTCCACAAGATTTACAGTTTATTTATTATCAATAAAACAATGCAATTTTTTTAAGGAATTTGTTAGTTGAACATGGGTTTTGTCTAGAGCTTAGACGGTTTAAAAGACGATGACTATCAACAACCATTAAATAATGAGAGGAGAATGTGTCTCCTTTTGAATCTATTTTAGTTAATCCCCTTACTTGGTTCTCCGTAGAAGATGTTTTAGAAGATTTTTTTTGCAATTTTTTTATACAAACTTCTTTTTGGGTATTTCGCCTCAACAATATAGAACTTATCTACAACTTAGGTATGGTCCTCATGTCTGTTCAATTTTTCGATATATAGAATCCAAATACATAAAACTTCAACACTCTGAAAACAGTTTAACATTTTTACATAAATGTAAAAACAATAACATTATTCCAAAAGGCTTACGACTTAAATCTCCATATGACATCAATACACAAGTAACAAAAATCTTAAACAGAGCAAGTAGAGCTTTAGTTAGAGAAAGAATTCAATATCACAGATTAAATAAAATCAAACTCAAAAACGAAATACATGACATAAATCAAGACTTACGATACAAAATCTCTTTTGACGACTTTAATCATATATGTAATTCCGTTAATAAAACCTATGAAAGAAAATTTATTATTCAAAAACAAATTCATAACCATAAACTAGGAAAATTACTCAACGAAAAAATCAAGACATTTTTAGTATAAAAAATAACCAATTTCTGGACAAAACAATTATAAATTTATCTAATAAATCATTA